ATTTATAGAAATTGATAACCATCTGATGAGGAAAAATAAGCATTCTTTGTAAGTGGGCAAACCTGCAAAATCAGCAAAGGGTCGAATACTTATTTCCACCACTGTATATTAATTATTATATTATTATTTATGTAATTATTTTGACCTATATATATACATATAGTTTTGTATGTATATATCTATCTATATTATATGAGGAATTTTGTATATATATATATATATATATATGTACAGACATGTATATATGTATATGACGCTGTTTTATTTATGGAGCCATTAACAAAATCATTTCCCTCTGGGATTATTAAAGTATTTCTGATTCTTATTCTGATTATTCCCTTTAGAATTATACCTCAGCAAGGGGTCAAATCTTATTTCCCCCACTGTACGACACACAGACTTACGTTTTTGACGAAATAAATCGTTTAGGTTTTGAATCGTGTGACTCTACACCACTATAAACCACAGCGGGTTATAAAAACATCCCCTTTTTTCGTACCAGGAGGTGACGTGGATATCCTTGAGCAGGCTGGTGAAGCGGTCGTTCAGCGGGACGCAGAGCGGCCCCAGCAGGTTATCCCAACTGGGCTGCATGTACTCGCTGGCCCTTCGCTGGGCGTCGCTCTCACAGCACATGTACTCGTGGTTAGGGGTCACGATGTAGGGGATGAAGTAGTAGTTTCCACTGGAGGCCTGGGGAGCCGGAAAGGGGGGAGTTTTGGTGTCGTTTTCGAGGTGAAAAAGATAGAAAACAGCAGATTTGGGCAGCATAAAGGGGGTTTAAAGGAGACATGTTATACCCTGTTTCAACGAGTTAAGCTAGCTCCCTGGTGTCCAAATGTAATGTCTGTGACAAGCTTTGGTCAAAATCCCATAAGGATGAAGCCCAATAGCAGTTCAGTCCCCCTGCCTAACCCTAACCCTAACCCTAACCCTAACCCAAAACAGCCCCGTTCAGAGCGCTCGCTTTGGAGTGCCTGTCTCTTTAAATGCAAATGAGACACAGGCAACCCGCCCACTTCTTCAGGGAGGTGTGCCCACGTCGGCACGCTAACGCTAGCACGCTAACGCTACCGTGCTAATGCTACCATGCTAACGCTACCATGCTAACGCTACCACGCTAACGCTCAGGCTACCACGCCGTCTGCCACAGATAGGGGAGTAAGCTGAGGGGGGGGGCAACATGCAGGTGAAAGTACGATTTGTAATTCTTAGGGCGAAAACTAATTTTCTCAAATGCACCTTTACTTACAGAGCAGTGAAAGAATGGAACTCATTGCCATTAATTCTCATAAAAATTGTACATAGGTCTGCTTTCAAAATGCAACTTAAGAAGTTTTTAGGAGAAACTTATCTATAAATGAAATAATTTCATATTCTAATTGATTGTAACTTGTTAAAATGTTAACATTTTAAATTGTAACTTTCCCCTTTTCTATGAATGTTCAGTCTTATTGATATGTAGATGATATTTGTCATCTGTCAAACATGTTCACGAATTTACATTGTATACTGTATTTTAAATGATGTGGACCCCAGGAAGAGTAGCTGGGTGTAAAGCACAGCTAATGGCGATCCTAATAATAAAAAAACAAATAAATAAACCAATAAACATGCAGGTGAAAGGCTGGAATATTATAATGAGCTAGAGCTAATGACGTCAGAAACTACCCACTCCTGAAACCTCCTGATTTATCTCCTGGATT